CCCCCCCAGGATGTGCTGTCGCTGTTTCTGGGACTCCGACACAGACAACTACGCTCAAGACATCTTCATGAATGTAAGTCTTTTCTTTACGGACATCTTCATGAATGTAAGTCTTTTCCTTACAGACATCTTCATGAATGTAAGTCTTTTCCTTACGGACATCTTCATGAATGTAAGTCTTTTCCTCACCCCCATATTCATGAATGTAAATGTTTTCCTCATTCGTCACTTCTTCACAATCTCCTCATTTTCCCAGTGTGTTATCCCCCTTTCCTCGAGGTCGTTCTTTTGCTCTAATGTGTCGACACAACCAGGCACAGTAAACATAATAAAACGACGAATGGACGCACTGCACTAATGTAAATACCAAAGGAAGTCACTCGATGATAGCTGAATGGTTGATGAACCTCTGTGAATTTTTACAGCATGTTTCTTGGGCTGCCAAGGTTTTTTTTAACCACTACGGCTTCAGCGCTCTAAACTGGTGCGGTACTTGAGGGTTTTTCCCTCTATGAGCCTTCGGTACTGTAAGTATTAGGTCATATGAGTGTGCGAGACATATTAAACATTTTCAATTTGATAGAAATTAACTTTGAATTTTGCTCGGATGGCGGCCAAAGCCTACTCTTAAGGATCTTTATCGTGTGCACCTTGCATACGGGATCTCCGAGATTTTTCTTTCACCCTTATCCGAGAAAGAAAAAGTCAGGAGTCCAGAGGATGGGGAAAAGAGTAGAAGGGGGTGGGGGGGGGAGCAGAAAGTGGAGATGAAAGCAGACGACAGAACATTGCTAGAGAGCAGGAAAGGAGGTGAAAGGAGACGACTTCAGAGAAAGAAGAAAATTTTCCGTCGCTGTCAGGTTTAGAACGCGGGATCTATTGAATGAGAGGCGAACACCTTATCCTCTAGACTATGAGAGCCCTGTTTTGTGTTTTGTCTGTCTGTACGTACACGTCTGACTTTTGACCTCCACAGGACTCGTTATTCTGCGTAGCTGCAGCGTACGGCGTGTTCAAATATTGAGGCAGAGACGAGGGGAGCTACGAGGCATCGACGCATAGACGTAGAGGGGGCTACAGGGAGAAACATACCCACGGAGAAACAGACATACAAGACATGACCTGATGGACAACGTACGAAAGATTTAGTGTGATGAAGACATCACCTGATTATACAACGGACGTGACGACTGGATGGGAACACCGTGGAAGCCCCCGCCAAACTTGCTGTGGCAATGTCAGATAAATGTTTGAAGATTTCTCATCTCATCACTGTCAGAAAGTGCTGCAAGAATTGGGGTGGGGAGGAGCCACTGATGGGAGGGGTGTGATTCAACAGCTTTGATTTTGTTTTGGTTATCCAGTAACTTTTTCAGGATGGGGGGGGGGGAGAAAATTGCACTCTTTTGATGAATGATTTTTCTTTTCGTGAATTGTTCATAGAAAAATGTATATAGATCTATATGTGTGAGAAAATGTGAGAGTGAGTGGAAGTGACTGCGCCATCTCTGGAAAATGCTGGTTTGAGAGTGTTGTGTCTTGGTGTGGCACATTTCTTAACTTTTTGTGTTTGTCTGTCATCTCACCTTTTGTAACATTTGTCTGTCATCTCACCATTTGTTACATTTGTCTGTCGTCTTACCTTTTGTTACATTTGTCTGTGTTCTCACCTTTTGTAACTTTTGTCTGTCGTCTTACCTTTTGTAACATTTGTCTGTCATCTCACCTTTTGTTACATTTGTATGTCATCTTACTTTTTGTAACATTTGTGAGGCATATATATAATAAGGGGTTGAGATGCAAAACCCTCCAAGTGACATATATCGGAAAAAAATGAGTTTTTCGTCAAAATTGGAAATTGCTTTCAATTATCAAATGCACAAAGTGTTTTTGGCCAAAACCCAACCCATCCTTCACAAAAGCCACCAAAAAAATCTCGGTAGATTTGTGTTTGTCTGTGTCAGGGCATTTGAGACTACCCGGTACTTAAGTCCCTTTCAACACAATGTCGCTAAAGAAGCTACTTTACAATTGCTGGAAGTTTAAGAGAAAAAAAATGAACCCTCCAGCTGAATGTAGGATTCGAACCTATGGTGAACTTGGGAGAGGGCCTTTCATACTCACTCCAGATGAGAAATAACGTGTGCCGTGTTGCCCCCCGAATGCTAGCTCAGCCAGATGTCAAGGACATGTGGTTACTTGACGGAGGCATTGCGCTGCCAAGAGAAAAATGCTCCAAGCTAAAGGGATTTGAAAACAACAACCACAAGAGAAAGCATTGAACAGGTGGGTCAGTTTCTGCACTGCCCAGTCACAAAGTCCTTCATTTGTCTCCAGTGGGGTTGGATCAGGTCCCATTGCTTTGCCTACATCTTTTGAGTGGCTTTTTCTACTTGTACCCGTCAGAATTTGTGAATGTAAGTTTGGAAAGTTTTTCAATAAACTGAGAATTAAATATTGGCAAAAGTATGATCTTATTCGGGTCTTTATCAATTTTATTCGTAGTTTGGTAATGACATAAACAGGTTGCTACAAGAGCCCCCGGCCGTCAAACATCTAACTAGGATAAATTATTCAGAATATGGGATTGTGAGGGGAAAACCAGCAATGTCATTTTTTCTCATATGACTTCACGATAAAAATCGCAAAAACACTGCAGCACTTTAAAGACTCTGCTCAACATGGGTTTCATGATTACTGCTACAATACATTCATCAATTTGAGGATTGTAAGAAAAAGGTATTCATTAGGAGAGTCTGACAAATCAGCGCAAGAAGGGTATTGCTCCACTAGGAAAAAAGCAAAGCAATCGTTTTCAACACGCCTCTTGCCCATTCAATGCCTTTTGTGTGAAAAGACTATCGAATAGACACATGACAGCAAGGGAATCAAGAAAGTTCATAAACTTGCTAAATATGTTACCAAAACAGCTGAAGCCTCTATAAAAGAAGCTGTAAACAAGAAATCTGACCCAAAACTTCGGGGCCACATTGAACATGTTGTTCTCATTGCCCAAGAGGCATGGTATCATGAACCATGTAGAAAAGCTTACACACGTAAGGAGGATCGACGTTCACAAGCTTTAACATCTAAATACATGTACTGTTCTGGAGAAGAAAAGGCAGAAGCTGAAGTGTAATGTTAGTATACACACACGACTGTAAACTGGAGAGACGAACACACACGACACCAAGCAATCTAATAATGAGCCCGGGTGTAGTGTCTTTTTATGTTGATCCCCGAAGTGAGTAACATTAAAAGTAAAAGCCCATGGCATACGGGGCGCTTACGTGGATTAAGAAAGAGTAAGGTACAATACTGTGACTACAGTGACATCTCCCCTTTTAATATTTAAGAAAAAGGAAAACCTCAAAATGGATTAAAGATGATTGGTTTCGAGTCTCTCAAAGGGGAATGTTCTAACTTTAACAAAATTCACACACAGAGTTCAATTGTCTTTGAAGCGTCGGGGCTTGCACTTGAGTACCTGGTAAAACATTTCAATAAAGTTCTTTGGTACTTCAGAATTACCACATTTCAAATTGTCTTTGTCACATTCATAGAACTGCATAGCGTCCAGATAACGAAACTAAGAAAATAAATTACCTCGAACAGGTAGGTCTACACAACTGTTGGGTAATCAGCTAAGAATAAACACACACAAAAAGTAAAACCAGTAATCGAAAGGATACGACTGGGTCGCAAGAACATCAGTCCGGGTAACGAACGGGTCTCCTGATCACTCGTCCACTTCGGGTAGTTATTGGAGCAGGACTGGCTGGAGCGGCAGCTGGCTGAGGGGATGGTGGTGTGACATCAGGCTCCACCGGCTGGACAGCTGGTGGCGGAGGTAAGGGAACGAACATTGGAGTAGGCTCTGGGGTGGCAACAGGTGAAGAAGGCATGGAAGGAGGGTCGACGTAGGGCTTCAGGTGTTTGCGGTTCCGGCGGTAAGCCCTATCCCCTGACTGTATGATGTAAGACCTCGGTGCACGCCCTATCCCCTGACTGTATGATGTAAGATCTCGGTGCACACCGTTCTTTGACCACCGCAGGGCCACCCCACTCCTTCTCGTTCTCCAGCTTCTGCAGGACGAGCTGACCAGGATTCAGCTCCGGGAGGTTCTGGGCTCCGTGACGTCTGTCAAAAGCTTGTTTGTACTTACGCTTCGACTCAGCGTCTCTGACTGCAATCTTCGCCCTGTCGTAGACCTGCTGGTTCAGGTTTGACGGTAGGATTGGCAGGGTCGTCCTCAGGCGTCGCCCAAGAGCAAGTTCCGCTGGGATCGCCCTCGTCGGTGACACCGGTGTAGACCTGTAGATCAAGAGTGCGAGAAATGGGTCGTGCTGACTCAGGGCTTTCTTCGCTTCCTCGGCTGCTCTCTCCGACCCGCCGTTGCTCTGGGGAAAATGAGGACTGCTGGTCGTGTGTTTAACCCCCAGCCCTTGGCGAACTTGTGGAAACGGTCTGACACAAACTGGGGACCGTTGTCAGTCACCAGTAGTTCTGGAATGCCAAACCGAGCGAAGATGTTTTTTAGTTTGTACACAACAGTCTCTGAGGTGGTGTCTGGCATGTAGGCCACCTCCAAGTACCGTGAAAAGTAGTCCACGAGAACCAGGTAGCCATGTCCCTTGTAGTTGCAGAAGTCAGCACCAACCATCTGGAACGGCCGCTCAGGTAGAGCTATCGGGGTTAGAGGTTCGCTTGGTTGTGCTGGACGTTTCCGCTGGCAATGTTCGCATCTTGAGACGACTTCCCGTATCTCAGAGCTGAGACCAGGCCACCAAATGGAAGATTTGGCCCGTTCTCGACACTTCGACACTCCGAGGTGACCGTCGTGGATCCTGCTGAGCATCTCTCCTCGCATTGCCTTTGGGATTACGATGCGGTTACCTCTGGCGAGTAGTCCATGGACTTCGCTCAGTTCACTGGAAACTGCGTAGAGGTCGCGAGCTTCGGACCTGACGTTTTGTATGAATTTCGGCCAACAGCTTCTTGTGTACTGTATCGCAGCACTGATCGCTGGATCCTGTTGAGACTTGTTTTTGATTTCATCAAGTTTGCTATCTGTGGCATCCCATGACATCTGGATTGTAGCGACATGAGCCTCGATCTTTTCACCAAATTCTTCAGGCTTGGTGCTCACTACTGGACTTCGGGACAAGGAGTCTGCGACAGTCATGTTTTTCCCTTGGGTGTATACTGCTTTTCCGCTGTAGCGCATCATCCTCATCAGCATTCGTTGGCAGCGGACAGGTGCATCATTCAGTTCCTTAGAATTGATCAGGGGAACAATGGGCTTGTGGTCGGTGAGCAGTGTGAATGACGGCAGCCCGATGAAGTAGCGATCGAACTTTTCGCACGCCCATGTGGCCGCCAACAGTTCCTTTTCAATCTGAGCGTAGTTCTTTTTCGGCCCTAGATATAGTTCTGGAACAGTAGGCCACTGGCTGAAGAACTCCTCCAGTCCGTAGCTGCTTGCATCGGCGCTTACAATGACAGGCTTCCTCATGTCGAAGAAGGCGAGTGTTGGAGCCGACGACAGCAACTTCTTGACTTCAGGGAAGGCAGATGACTGCGCTGGAGTCCACGCCCACTCAGCATCGTGATTCGGAAGATCGGTGAGCGGCTTCATGACTGTTGACAGATTTGGCACAAAGCTGCCCAAATAGTTCACCATGCCGAGCACTCGTCGTAAGTCTGTAATGTTCTCAGGCTCTGGCATCTCAGTGATGGCGCTGACCTTGGATGGGTCTGGCCTTACACCCTTCCCGCTGATGATGTGGCCAAGAAAATCGATTTCGTCCTTGTCAAACTTGCACTTGGATTTGTTCAACTTGACCCCACGCTCCTTTAGCCGCTGGAAGACTTTCTTCTTCAGCTTATCATGTTTCTCCTGACCATCCGTGTGCAGGAAGATATCGTCCATAAAGCACTCAACACCGTCTATGCTCGCTAGAATGTCTTGCATCGCGCGCTGAAATATCTCAGGCGTAGAGGTGATTCCAAAGCAGAGACGTCTGTAGAAGTGCCGACCGAACGGTGTAATGAAAGTGGTCAGCTTCGCGGAGTCGTCGTCCAGTGCCAACTGCCAAAAGGATGAAGTTGCAACAAGCTTGCTGAACTTGTTGGATCCGCTGAGTTTGTACAAGATGTCGTCTATGGTGGGCAGCATGAATCGTTCACGCTTCACCGATAGGTTGAGCTTTTTTCTTCAGATTTGTGCAGATTCTAACGCTACCAGACCTTTTTCTGACCGGGACCATGGGCGCGTACCAGTCAGTAGGAGGGCTGATCTTCTCAATGACACCTGTGACCTCCATGCGGTCTAGTTCAGCCTTGACTTCGTCCACGAGTGGAATGGGAATCCGACGTGCGACGTTAACGGAGTGTGTCTGTGCATCTTCTTTCAAGATGATTTTCACTGGCTCGCAGCGTATAGGTTTAGGTCCCTCATCGCCGAACACGAGGTTGGCAGAGTCTATTCTGTCTCGAGAAATCAGTCCCAGACGAACTGCGGCGTCACGACTGAGAAGACAGTCGGTGTCGTCGTCAAGGACGAAAACACAGAACGCAAAGTTGCGATTGTTGTGCTGCGTAGTTGCGATAAATTCTCCCACGCTCCTTATGACTCCACCAGGACTGCGAAGAACTGCAGATGTTGTTTTCAGCTTTGGACGAGGACTGAGACGGTTGTAGACGGCCTTCGACATTATCGAAACATCGGTCCCTGTGTCTATCTTGAAGGATGTAGCTCTCCCTCCAAGGTTCAGTGTAACGCGCCATGGTGGCTCGCTAACTTCGCCGAAGTTAACATCGGTAACGACATTACTGTCCACGTCTTTGTCAACAGCACCTAAAAAGAACGAAGGAGTTTCCGATTCAGTGATTTCGTTGACATCGCGGCTGCTGCTGCGACAGACTGTTGCGAAATGATTGCGCTTGCCGCATTTTCTGCAAGTTTTCCCACGCGCTGGGCAATTGTTTTGGGCATGACCTCTTCCGCAGTTGCTGCAGTTAGAGAAAGTTGACGGTGATGCATGGCTGCCTCTGTGTTGTGAGTGTATACCTGTTCTTTGGTCGCCTCTACCCCTGGGATGAGCAGGCGACGAATATCCCCTCTGGCCGTAGCGCACTGCATCTACTGTGACTGCTGCACCTAGCTGACGTTGGCTACTGACCTGGCCCTTTACGAGCTCGAAATGGCGTGCTGTTTCGATGGCTGATTTCAAAGTAAGAGTTGCCTCGAGTTGTAAGCGCTATGACAGTTCATTGTCCAGTACTCCTAGGACGATTCTATCCCTTATGGTTCCATCTCGGTCCTTAAAGTCTGCATGTTCTGAAAGCTCGTACAGGGCTCTAACATATTCTTCTATTGTCTCCCCACTGTTTTGTGCTCGTGCATGAAACTTTGCTCTTTCGTGGATAAGATTCCGCTTTGGGACAAAGTGAGCGTCGAAATTCTCTAAGACAGTGACAAAGTTGTCCCTAGGATCGTTACCTTCGACGGGAGCAGGGAACGTGAACGTGTTAAATATCTGTTCAGCTTGGCGTCCCATAGCGTAAATTAATTAACTTACCTGAATTGCTCCGATCTCTGCGTTCAGTTTGGTGGCTGTGCGGTATCGTAGCATACGCTGTTGCCACTCGGGCCACTCGTGAGGTTTGGAAAAATCAAACGGTTCAAGAGGCTTGAAATGAGGCATTCTGACACTTGTGACACGTTATCCACTGACTTCTGACACCATGTAATGTTAGTATACACACACGACTGTAAACTGGAGAGACGAACACACACGACACCAAGCAATCTAATAATGAGCCCGGGAGTAGTGTATGACTTTTTATGTTGATCTCCGAAGTGAGTAACATTAACCAAAAGCCCATAGCATTCGGGGCGCTTACGGGGATTAAGAAAGAGTAAGGTACAATACTGTGACTACCGTGACATGAAGAAAAAAAGAAAGCTCAAGCTGCAGAGGAAGAAGCCCACTCCATGGCTTTTCAGTACGTCTGTCAGTTTGTGGAAAAACAAAAGAATAAATAACACATCTAGTGGAGAGGATTTGTAAAAATAGAAACTAACCACAACTAGTGAAGACATTTGGAAATAAAAGAAAATGAAATAAGTAACACATCTCGTGGAGACGGTTGGTAAAGAAAAAGAAATAAAAATATTTTGGGGAAGTGTTTTCTTCTTTATTTTTTAATTATAAAAAAAAAAAAATACACTGACAGCTAATGAAGAGTAATGGAGCCAATAGAGCCAGTTTGATTGCAAGGTGTATAGTAAAAAAGCGATGGCATAACATTGTATTCTGTCTTTGTTGTACAGTTCAAGGGAACTAATTCATGTTTTATTTTAACCGTATTTAGTAGACTCTTGTAGGCATTGCTGTTTCCCTTTAACGACAACACTCTTCCTGGCTGGGAATATTTTTTTTTACAACTGTCACCACAAGTAGAAGATGTGTTATTTATTATTTTTTATTATTTGTTTGTTTCCACTGTTTCGGCGAGATGACTAGATGTGTTAGTTATTTAATTATTTCGGGGGGGGGGGGGGGGGGGGGTTAACAACTGTCTCCACTAGACTAGATGTGTTACTTTTTAAAGAACAATTTTATATGAACTGTCTCCACTATATTAGATCTATGTGTGTTATTTAGTTTATTTTTTTGAAAATGTGTTAGTGAAAAATAATTCCCCCCCCAACCGCCCCTGGTGAGTGTGTGGGTGTTCTCAATTTGAAGTATCGTGCTATAGTTCTCCTTGCTCACCATGGGGAGGGAGGACTAGGACTTCAAACAGGGCACATGTATCTACTTATCATTTGAAGTTGGATATCACTGATTAAAATGGGATAAAAATCAGGACAATTTCATTCTTGCAAATTGGATTTCTTTTATGTCATGTCGTCTACACTCTCTTTCTACTGATGCAAAGACTAAGTCTTCATAGAGTATGGAGGGGGTTAAGACTGGCTTAATGATTTAATATATTAATTCGTTATTGTCGCAAAATGAGCAATTAATTGTAGGCTGGGACACTGTAAATCACTCATTGTATGGGTCCTATGCGCACACCAAAAGAGCGCTGTTTGATATCGGGCACAAAATCATATACTGACAACATTTTTTTTTTAGATTATCTGGCTCGTTTAAAGGTAAACAATCCCAAAAATCCCTATGAGTACATTTCACATGACAAAAAAATCAACATCAAAAGACTTGTCAGATTATCATCAATCCCTGACAGAAAAGTGTTGCTGAGCACCGACTAGCCTTTTCTTCCTCTCCAGAACGGCGGCGCTCCCTCAAGTCTGAAACTCCTGACGTCACATCTCACAGCTCTAGTTCTATTATAACCTCTTTGGTTGTGTAACCAAAGATTCTCTACTACCAAAGATCCAAAGATCGTGTATACCAAGATGGTTCAATCGCCCTATCTCCTGTCGCGCGAGACTTGGGCATGACCTTGTGTTAGCGCATGACGGCCTGTGATATACGAGTGTAAACAAACGTTCCGGTGATCTAGAGTAGAACGTGTGCAGTTTTTGCCTGCGGGCAGAGAGAGAGAGAGAGAGAGAGAGAGAGAGAGAGAGAAG